CGCTTACGACATACAAGTGGGTTATATGGCTCACTATAACCATTTGTAGGGAGTGTGTTGCTTGATGTAGCAATCAGCGACCTAAAATGAGTCATCAGATTTACAGGGGATTGAGTTCGTTGATTTTTACTTTGGTTAACCATAACTATTTGATATGAGAGTTAATAGTTATAGGTATAGAGGTAGTAGAGTACTTGTGCAAGGATTACAACAAGATAAATTTTATGTAACGAATCACGCAAAAATGTAACGCAAACGTTGGACGTACCGCTACACTATATCCCATGACCATTTAACTGTACAAAACACTTGGTAACTTTCCTGAATCTGTGTAGGTTGTTTTGATGGATGTGATATAGTCACATTCTCCAATGAAAGAAAGTGATTTATCATTGATTTAAACACATTAAAATATGCAGAACGTCAAAAAGCTGCATAATTTTAACGGTGAGCCATTCGACGAAAAGGAATAACCAATCAACGTGATGATACGCTCGTGATTTCGAACTAACTAGTGTCACTTTCCAGGAGTTCAGGATCAGCTTATCGGCTGTAGTTTTCTGTATGCACCAAATAGTTTAAAACGGTTAGTTTGGGATTCACCTGGCCTTTCTTAAATGTAAACTGGGTAGTTTATATCTTAATTTCCTGACAGTAGTTAAGCTGTTTTAGATCATTTCAGGAGGATAGGTTGCATATTTTATGGGTATTCTTCGAATGCTTTCAACCTTTTTAAGTCATTTGGCTTTAGGCTCCCATATAATTAGTCACACCATTAGAGTCCGGGGTGGATACATGATTTGCATGTAGACAATCTGCCACAGGACGACTAAGTCGTTTACACACACGTACCGCCCTACTTGTATGGTTAGATGTAAATGTTACCTTGATATCCGTGACCACGTTATTGTGTTTTCGGCTAAATCTCCGAGCATTGTTTGCCCATAAACGTGCCTATAAAAGACACGCACAGGTGAAACTATTGTACTCTTGCCTTATATTCGCTGGTCTGAATATTTGTGGTCAACATATAACATTAGAACACTGCAGACACAATATGGAGTATACCTTCCGATACAAGTGTGCAGTGGGTTTATTACTGAAGAGATCCTGAATTCTCACCACATATAGAATACCCGAGATCAGATAGAGAGAGCGATCTACCTATCTGCAAGAGCATCCTGGAAGTAAAAGTAGCTGCTCAACTGGCTTCTGATGGTCGATATTCAGATCTTTGTATACATTTTGAGTATTGCTTTCCTTCGTACAGATCATTGAAATCCGTTGCTCGGTTTAACAGACTCGTCGTAAAATTGTCTTTTTGCACAACATCTTCAATGAATAAACCACTCAGTTAACGTCCTATAACCACAGTTAGGTATTATTACATTCCCTTGGGTTCCAAGCGGAATATAAAGCTCCAACAACACATCTCCACTTTCTTATATTTTCTGCCATCCTCTTCAACTGGCTCCACGATTTTCCCCCGATCTCTCATTTCCTCTTTTCGCAATGTCCTCAATGTCATCCTTGCCACGACCACACACTCATCGCTTCCCATTGGGATTCTACTCGAGCGAAGGCCTGTATTGTGCGTGATGTCATTGGACGACCTCCTCAATGTATAGCCGATCCATTCCCATTTCCTCCAATATTTTCTGGGCTATCGCTCTTGGTTGGTTTGTCGCCAAACTTTCTTCTAACGAAATATTTTTAGCCATTTGATCTTCAATATGGAACGAGCCAACCAGCGAAGGTGGCAGCTGTTGACAAACGTCTATTACCTGCTGGAAATGCCTTTCGTTACACGCAGTACAAATTTCTGACCCGTATAGAAGGACTGACTTGACACTAGTGCTGAAAATGCGAATGTTGTTGCTTATGATGAGTAGATGAAGGCTTATCTTGCCTTTCCGATCTTAGCTGGCTCTGATGTCTTCATCCGTTCCACCTGTAGTTGAAACAATGCTATCTGATGAGATAGGTGGAGGGGGCAACCTTTGTTAAATCTCTCTTGTTGATAGTGATTGGTGCTGGTTGTGGTTATTACGTTCGTTGTTTATCTTCATCACCACCTTCTTCTCTATGTTCCCTTGGATTCCCGCCTTCTCTGCCAGCCAATTCAGCCAGTTTGTTGGTTTTCGCCTGCCTGTAAGTCTTCGAATTTGTGTGACATTAGACATATATCATCTGCGAAATCCAGATCTTCTAGGGTCTTCTTATCGGTGACCTAGTGTGTTCCTGACTCCTTGCTCCCCAAAGTCTGACGCATAATCCAGTCCGCCACACATAGGAACATCATTGGTAATAGTAGGCAGCCAGCTTGCCTTACTCCAGTATGCACTTCGAACGCCCCACTGAGTTTTTCGTTGTGGATCACTTGACACGTGGCGCTGTCATATTGCCAGCTGTGGCTGAATGGGGTTGATAAATATTCGGGGCACTACACGCCGTAGTGCTGAAGTAGGTTTGAACCACTATGCAGTCGACGCTGTCAAAAGTCCTCCAAAAGTCAAAGAATTTAAGGACGATGTTTGACTGCCATTTCACTCTTTGTTCTCTGATGACGACGCGTGGGGTTGCAATTCGATGAGCACATGATTTGCCATTCCTGAATCCAGCCTCTTCCAATCGGCAGATTTCCATATCCAGTGCATCTTTCATGCTTTCCAGGGTGGTGCGACTTAGTATTTTACTTGGCGTGGACAAGGGTATTATTCAACTCCAGTTATTGCACAGGCCTAGGTCGCCCTTGTTTGGCAGCTTGACAAGGAAGTCAAATTTTTTTCCAATCCGTAGGTACTTTACTTTCTTGCCGAACCCTTCGCAATAATGGCGTGAGCACATCTGCCGTAGTCGCTGGGTCCGCTTTCAGGGCTTCGTGAGGGATTCCTTCTGATCCTGCAGCCTTACCAGGTGGGATTCAGCAGCTTGATTGAATTCAGAATTTCTGCTTTTAATGGAGGAGTGGTGTCCACTGGCAGGCAGTTCTGTGAGTGCTATTGGCAGTGTAATTTCTGAGTGAGCCGCAAGTGATTGTCCATTCAAGAGTCTTATAAAGTGATCAGACTATTTTGTTATTTGTTTCTTCTCCTTAGTAATCAGGTTTGCTTCAATGTATTTTATTGGTTTCGTCATCCAGCTTGATCCCTCTCCACATAGAGACCTGGTTATCTGATACAATGTTTTGAGGTCTCTTTTAACTGTGGCCTGCCGGTTCTGCCTCAGTTGGCAACGTGTTGTAGAATTGTCTTTTTTTCTTTCCTAGCACTCTTCTTCGGCTCTTTATTCAGCGCAGTGAACATTGTACTCAGCTTCTCTTTTTGTTGTACATCGAGTGCAGTGAGTCATCCTCTCCTTCACCATCCTTCTCTCTTTGGTTAGCTTCCAGCTTTTCGTTGAGACCCATTCCCTGTCTTTTCCCGTTTTTCTTCCTGGGACAGTTGTACACGTTTCAATGGATATCACCCTGAAAGAGTTAGTTCAAATATTCTTCCACGCAAGTTTCATTGGTGATACCACATCATATAATATCTCCGACTTTGTTCTGATTTGATGTGTAGTGAAGGCATCCCTTGTGGTTTTGTCCTTCAGTTTCTAAATGTTGAACTTGATTTGTGGTCTGTCTCATTTGGTTCCAAGGGATTTCCGCTTCATCTTGAGGGTTCCTTGGATTCATGTTGCTATGTGTACTTGCTTATGTTTGTACGTGCCTCCGTTCACCAGGTCATTAAAAGCGCAGAAATCTGCGAATAGTTCTCCGTTCTCAGTCATTTCACCGAGCGAGAGCCTCTCGACCCATGGTGAGTTCCCTTCCTGTATTATTTGTTCCCACTTTGGTATTCATATCACCCATGTCTATTTTGATGCCACCTTTTCGGATGTTGTCCATTACTGTTTGTAGTTGTCCATAAAATTCTTCCTTCTTCTCTTGCTCCGTGTTGTTTTTAGCACTGTACATAACATAGAATGAATGTGACCCCCCTTCTTTATGAGTTGAATCTTGCTGTTATGTTCTTGGATGAAATTGGTTCCCACTGCATCAGGGCTCTGGCTGTCACTGGTGACATCATTATAGTCACTCCCTCAGTGTGTTCGTGGTTGTTGTCTGGCTGACCGGAGTAGGGCACTGACTCTCTAGTTGACAATTTTAACAATCCAATCCCATTCCATCTGCTATGGCGGATACCCATGACTTCCATGCCATATCTTCTCATTTCCTTGGTTACCTGGGCAGCCTTCACAGTCTCATACACTGTATGGACATTCCAGGCCCCCATTCTTGCTCTTGCTTTCATCGAGAGAAGACACGCCGGCTGGCTGACTGGCTTCTTGAAGGCTTTCACCAGGCCGCACCATTTCGCCTCTCCGATTCCAGCGAAGAATAAGATTGTTGTTATTAGAAGTTTCTGTATTTTTAATGTGTCTTCTGTGCGTTGAAGTTCCTCTAATGGTTTTATAGGTTTAGCGGTGTGGGGTTTATAGTCCGAAGCCCAAACCTCTCTCTTTACCTGGGCTTTTAACCGCTTAGAAAACTATCAAGCTAGCTAAATAAGGGAGGTTACAATTACTTATAGTTCAGTCTATGTTTACTGTCCTATTTCTAAGAATAATTATTGTAAACCCACCCAAGAGATATATAGTCGTAAATCATTTCACACGTTCTTTCACGGCAGACGACTTCACTTACAAAAAATGTTTCTTTCTGTTGTTACTGTTTCGAAGTGTAAGCTAGGTCATTCTACGGCGGCTCTTTGAAATACCTTTACAAGTTACTGTCCAATTAAAATGACTAGACGGTAAGAAGCAACTTTTGTACTAATGAAGCCATCAGACGTGTCTCGTCTTATGTTTCTCTCAAAAGGCATGTTCAGATTCTCAATTAATGAACTCATTATAGCACTGGCAACTCACCCTTGCGTCCAATAAATTATGGCCTAGGTTATTGTGACCTTGTTTCTACTGGAGTAAGTGAAGCAATTTATTAAACAACTTTATAGTTGTGCAGATTATGTCAACCCGTGGATTTGAATATCACAAAATGTGAAGAACTATTAGACATAATAACTGACAATGCACTGAGAGCTTTGAAAACTGTAGATGATAAGTCTTTGAAGGGGATGAAAATGCTAAACACATTCATAGAAAAGAAATCTGCATTCATGAGTTGAGTTTTTTGCTTGTTTTTTTCATACGATAATGTAACAGAACCTGGCCGATATTTGTGTTTAGATTTCAAAGGGAAGTATTATCGTTTGGTTTTGACAACTGTATCAGAAGACGTGCAAGAAATAAAAAAAGAGGAAGAGTATTATTCTATTTCCAACCGGTTAAGATGCAGTAATGCAGAGACGGTAATACTACAGTGAATATAATCACTTCATCTTTCTAGGTATTTAACTACATTGCGGAAACTATACATGACTTCTATATTCTTAAAAATATAAATGAAGAAAATATACCTCTTGGTATATGTTTCATGTTTCCAATGAAACAGACAAGTATACGAGATGGTTATGTGATAAAATGGGCAAAAGAATTTTCAATCAATAGTCTTATAGGATTAAATTTTCCTGTAAAATTACAAGAAGCTCTCAAAAGAAGGGTTGTTCAATTGATTTTCGTTTTTTTTAATAATATTTTTAGGGATTAAAAGTACCAGTAACTGCTATTGCAAATGATACAGTTTGTGCATTTTTTGCTTGTGCTTGGAAAGATAACGATTGTGCTCTTGGTTTGAAACACAGTAAGCATCTAATATTTATGTTTAATGATTTACTGATAAATCTGTTAAATAAATAATTAATTGCTGAGGTTAGATATTGATATGAATAAAAAAATACAGCTGAATGTAACACCGAAATCTGATTTCAGTCCCCATGTCTAGCACTAATAAAAATTCTGAGAATATGGCTTGATACTCAAGGGAGATAAGCGGCTCTTCATTTGGTCAAATACCAGGTACTAATTTACATTGACTTCTGGCCTCCAGATCCCCCATAAATGGAAACAGAAAACAGAGTGTTCGGAACAAGAGAGAAAAAGTTATTTTATCACGCGAAAATGCGTAATATATATGTATATTTATATATCATAAAGCCCACTAAGTTGGTCTGATTAAGTCGGGATTCGAGGTTGTCCAATCATGTTATTTTTAAGTTAGTTGCCTCAGCATCCAGTGGCTTAAACTGATCCTAGCCTTCTCCACTTCACCTTATAAATATAGCTGTTTTGATGTTAGATCAGCCTGGAGGAAGGATGTATAAAACCAACTCGTTAAAAAGGAACGATTGAGTGCAACCCATATGTTATCTCTTTTGCTTTGAGTAAATTTGAAACCGTACTGCCTATGATCTTCACTTTGATCGTCATCTGGGTAAAAACATAGACATGGGACACTGATGGGATTAGCTGTAGGTTATTGGTTCATAAATCTGTTTACAGTGTTCCTCTTTGCATTAATGTTAACAGCATGGAATGGATAGCATATACTTCAGTTGAATTCTAACTTCTAGACTGGATCAGCGTGAGAATTTCGAGAAGGTTGACTAATTGCTAATATTCATATTCAACATCTTTGCAACTTTATTTGTGGGCTTTTTTCTAGTCTATTTAACAAGAGTGTTCTTATGACAACAAGTCTTAGATATTGATGAGTGGGATAAAGATAAACTGATCACCTGTCAACGATTTCAGGTTGACTAGTTCACATGTGCAACTGACAATAGCCAATTCACTGAGAATTTAAGTTTATCTAGCTGACTGGTTCCAAACATGACGAAATGCGTATCCTGGGCACTACAACTGGTCACTATCAGCCAAAATAACTTTACGGCGATCATTCGACATTGTCGAAGTGTCCATACCAGGAGTCAGTATGTCAACAGACAGTGAACATTCGGTCAAAAATAATCAGCCAATGGAGATTGTAAATTAACCTAGTGGCAAATGTTTGAATTTAGTCCAACCACCATGATATTATTGTGAACAAGAAGTGTCACTCGAAAAGTCATACAGTAAACAATGCTGAATCATTATATGTTAAGCGAGATAAACAAACTTAGGCAAAGTTCAACAATACGCCAGGATGCAACGCACGAGTGACCTTCAGCTGACCAATCATAAAAATGAGGAATGTTTGCTCAAAAATGATGTATATTCACAAGAAAATGCTTGAAAACGCATTAAACAGGTTATCTTTCTCTGACATGGCTTAAAAATACGTCCTAGTTGTAACGAGGAGTATCAATTGCTAAGTTAGACTAGTTTCTGTACATGTGTTCATCGAGATGACAACAGATAAACTGTTTTTGTGAATCGTTTATCTCTCTCATCCTGCTTGCAGTCTTCCAAAAAAGCCCTTGGGTTCCAGCAAGAGGATAGACGACTACTTACCAGGAAAACGTGGATAATAAAAAACATTAAAATAAATGACATCAACTATAAATCTATCCCTAGTCGTAACCATAAGCTTAATCCTGATCCTAAAACTAAACCTGACCTTAATCTTAACCCTAATCATAACCCTTATTCAAACCATAATTCTAACCCTAATGCTAATTATAACCCTGATCCTTACCCTAACCCCAATATTTACCTTATCCCTAATCCTAACCATAACGAGCTATTAACACATTGTCCAAACAGTACTTAAAAACGTGATCTGGGTGAAATTTGCTCCTAAGTTGATGAATAGCGTTGATATTTCAGCTATGATAATAACAGGTGCCGTTAGCCACGCGTTCAAGGTCATTGGAGCGTTCACACTCCTGGGACGCTATTGTTGAACTTCGCCCAAACTTATATAAGGTTAAATAGAGATGCAGTAAAATGTTCTTCCAATGGCTCTAGAGGCCTTATTTATTTCACTATTGAATCAACACTCTCGGTTGTATTAATATTGACCATCAAATGTAAGAAAGAACGGCTATCTATCATTATTTATCAACCCTAACCACTTATCCTAAATATCTCAAACACATGTGTCCCTCAGTTTACTTCTTCTAACAGTCGGAGTATTCGTCAATTGTTACCTTTTGGAGTTGTGATTCATTGATTTAATTGCTCAATTTTTAAATAGTGGACCACAGGTATAAAATGGACTCACACAAAAAACTTGGAGGATCTGGACTTCGCCGACGATATATGTCTAATTTTCGATAAACTGGAAGATCTGCAAGCAGAAAGCAACAAGTTGGCAGAAGAAGCTTCCAAGATAGGACTTCAGGTGAACATAGAGAAAACAGAGGTAGGTGATGAAGATTCCTGGGCAACACCACCAACAGCAACAACAACAACAGACAACAATCAGTATAAATGGAAGGAACCTGAAAGAAACAACCTCCTTTACCTACCTGGGAAGCACCGTTTCAACTACCGGCGGAACTGACGAGGATATCAAAACAGCGAGGATCGAGAAAGCAAGGCAAGCTTCCATTACTCTCGAATCTGTGTGGAGGTCAAAAGCACTCAGCATGAAAAATAAGATCCGGATTTTCAACTCCAATGTGAAGTCAGTGCTACTTATTATACGGATCAGAGACTTGGCGCGTCATGAAAAGCACCTCAAACAAACTGCAGACCTTCATCAACAGTTGTCTTCGCTCAGTACCATTCAAGATCAGATGGTTGGCCAGAAAAGATCAGCAATAGAGATCACTGGCAGTGAGCGAACCAACCAGGAACCGATTGTGAAACAAATAAGCAGGAAGAAATGGAGATGGATTGGCCATACTCTGAGGAAACCATCAAGTGACATCACCAGAGAAGCCATCGCTCGAGTGGAACCCGAAAGGGAGTCGGCGAGTTGGTCGTCGGTGCGAGGGTGACTTGGAGGAGGTCATGTGAAGAGGAGATGAAAACGTGTGGGCAGACTTGGAGGCAGGTGAAGACTCTAGCAGAGAACCGAACGCAATGGAGCCTTGTGGCTGAAGCCCTATGTTCCTCTAGGAATTAAAGGAAACAATAATAATAATAATAATAATAATAATAATAATTCGTGAATTTTTATCTTGTGGGGCTGTGATTCATTGATTTAGATGCTCGATTTCTAAACGGTGAACCACAGTTTCCAGCATGAGTTTAGGCACCCACCGAGTATCACTAGCCTCCACACAATAAGTCTGGCTAATTGATAGAGGCATGGAATCAGGAATGGTTGTTGCTCAAATGTTGACCATACATCGATTGTATCACCTTAAGGTTTCATCTAAACCAAATCTCAGGCACCGATTCCCTTTAAAGGATGGTTATTTTGGTTGCTCACTGGGTATTGACCAGTCTCATGAGTTCAGTCCTTGGGTTGATGTAGACTGAATACTCTCACTTAAGTTTGAAATGTGGTAACCATGCTAGGTGACTTGTCATTGTGGTGCGCACTGAACTGATGGGAGATAATTAGAGGCACAGGGGTAGAGTGCTCCGGGGTTCAATCCCCGGCAGACGCACTCCTCCGCCCCAGTAAGCCAGTAATGAGATTGGAAAAGAGGGAAGGTTGAGCATGAGACTAGCAACGCTATCCTGTAAAAATAATCACCACTGCTACAGAAACTCCAAGTCTCTAGCTTGGAGCCCCATGTTTCATCACTGGGAAAGTAAAGGAATAAAAAATATCCGGACCTAGGTTTCGTGCTTGTTGACAGTCACCAGTCAGCAGGGCGTGTCTGCAGTCCTTAAGGAACTCATGTCCCATTGGTGACCAGAAACCACATCACCCACTGCTGAAGTTAGAAGCGTTCCCTCTGAGTTATTCGGACTCGTGATTGAGCACCTGTAGGAATGTAGTGGATACTTTGATCAGTTATTTGAAAGTAAGCCATGTCACGCGTCAATTCCTTGGTTTGGTGCAGACTAAATTCTGTCAGCCTAGTCTGCACTGTGGTCCTTATTGGTTACTACCAAGTGACCAGTCAAAGCCTTCAATACAGGGCTTTTTGAGGAGGTTAGGTACCAGTCCCAATAGCTCATTGTTAATGCCTCTAACTGCAGCACTGGATGATGTTGGTCTGGGTAGTAGAGGGGACATCAGTTCCCTCAAGACTGCAGATACATCTTACTGACCGATGACAAGCACGACACCTAGTTCCAGGGCTTCCTGACAACTGCCTTCAGTCATCTAACATTAGTATAGGATGGTGTTGAATATGTATATGTACATACCTAGGTCGATAAAAATTCAAAATCTCACGGACTCAGTTGCTTCCAACGTAAGAGTAGGAAATGTGCATGTAGAAATTTGCACACAACAAACAGCGCTATAACGCCATGATGAGAAAAGGAATATATATATATATATATATATATGTTCATAGTATATTTTCTTGTCAAAACAAACAAAAAATGTTGTCAATGAAGCAAGATTTAATGAACTTACAGAATTTCTGCAAAACTCCACAGATAAATATTCTACATACCTTGATGTACATACGACTGGAGTTATACTGGAAAACTTGTTATTGATAAGTAAGTAAACTCCATTGAATTAATCATGCAAAATGACATATGCGATTGTCTTACTTGTGAAGCATAGATAGATAAGGGAAAAGGCGTATTAGATATTAAAGTAAGGATAATAATGCGTCATTAGTTCAGTTACTCTGTCTGTCTGTCCTCGACATAGAACTTTGCACATATGTGCGGCAGTTCAAGTCGCCACACTCCCTCCATGTAGCACACAAAGCAAGAGAAGAAATGCGTAATATAAACAGTAAACAGAGGTGTGAGACAAAGGAATAGTAATAACGAAGAACAAAACAGTTTCATTGGAAATCATAAGTCACAAGGAGTGGATGCATCTGCGCCAACCATTGAGAACGATTTTGAGCCATATCAACAATTGTTTCCAACCATTGGTTTTACCGTCCCGAGGATCCCAACCAGGAAGTCTACACCTTCCTACGTGACTGGCTTAAACTAACTGTTGTGGGTTTCATTGACTGATGAAGCCATATTTTAGTTTGACCACCACTAGAGGCTCTTTTCCAACCTGACCCTATATCAGCTAACATTGCCCGTCGAGGAAGGCGATGACTAGGGATACGTAACACATGTCCTAATCATCTCAGTGGGTGTAGCTTCACAGTCTCGTCGACTGATTTCTCCTCCTCACCTAGCACTCGATCGATGCCTAACCTCAATATTGCTCACCTTATCATACCACTTCACATGGGAGACAGAACGCAGACACCTAGGATCAAAGACAGCTAATCTTTTCATGTCTTTCACTCTCAGTGACCAGGTCTCACAGCCATACAGGAGGACGGAGCGGACTGATGAGCAGTACACACGCCCTTTGGTCGACAGTCGGATATCACGTATACGCTAGAGATGGCGTAAACTGGCATATGCGAAACTAGCCCTCTGTATGCGTGCTGAGATTTCGTCAGAGATCAACCCGTTGACATTGGCTGATGGTACTTCCCAAGTAAGTGAAGCGGTCAACGTGCTCTACCACTGCACTTCCTATTTCTAAACTAGGAGTCGGTGTAGTCCAATCTTGTAACATCATCTTGCTCGATTTAAATAAACGCTTAGTTATCAGAGAAGGAACTTTAAACTACCATGAATTGTAAAGTCAATAATAAAAAAAACAATAATTTTCAATAGTTGGTTTGTAAGGATTAGATTTGTTTTAGCAAGCTGATCAGAGATTGATATCAGTTAGAGAACCATTAAAATCAACCAGACAGTACTAGACAGCTGTCTCATCCTAATTTGGAATCATTGGCAATACTCACCCACCTCACTGGGGTTCGAACCCAGGACATTCTGGTTACAAGGCAAGCTAGTTCGTATACCATTCAGCCACTCAGACCCGATTCAATAGTCCATGAGGGAGTTTCATGGAGTTCTAGTGAGAAGTCGTGACCAGTGATTTCCATCCAGTCAAGTGTGTGAGGATGGATTTCCCACCGACGACATAAGTTGCTGCCAGTAGCATTAAATGCATCACGAATTGGTAGAAGTTACAATTCATGCACTGGTTATTGAATCGGGTCGCGTCCCAGTGGCTGAATGGTATACGAGCTAGCTCGCCTTATAACCTGGGTCCTGGGTTCAAACCATTTTGGTGGGTGCGTACTACCGATGATTCCCAAACTAGGGTGTAACAGCTGTCCAGTACTCCCTGATTGTTTTCAATGGTTCTTTAACTGATATCAGTCTCTGATCAACTTTCTGATCAGATTTAAGATAAGATAATAGTAATGAGAAGAACAGTATTAATCGATGCAGAAATAACAGGGATAGATGGAATAAAATAACAAGAAATAATAACGGTCCATAGCTAAAAGTTCTTAACATGGTAGATTCAATGTGAAAACCATTTTCTTCTGTACACATAAACTGAGCACATAAACTTTAATTGCACAAGCTTCCACAAATTCAAGTATCTTCTAATTCGCTTGTCCACCGATAACAGTGAATGATTTGAAAGCGTCAATGTCAAGCCCATAGTCTGTCTATAAGATGCTTTGCTGCTGAACTTTTTGATATAATGACTTCGGTTTAATTTAATCTTTTGGGAAAATTCTGCATCATGAGAGAATTCTTTTCAGAAAAGGACAGAAAATATTGACAAAAACTGACATCCTTTTAAAAGCCACTCAAAATCTAAACTAACAAATTCTTATGGACTAAAACATAGATTAGATAATTTAAAATTAAGTAATGAAGTAGAAAATGGTTAGTTTTGACATTGTTAGTTTATATACACGTATACCGATAAATATGGCTATAGAGGTGGTCAGAAACGAACTCATTTCTGACCAAGAACTTGAACTTAGGACGAAAGTGCCACTGCTGAAGGATATAATGCTGGGAGTGCAGCTATGCCTGACTTCCACAGTATTTAAATTCCACGGAAAAATTTACAAATAAACTGAGGAAGTTGTCATGGGGTCACCAATATCTCCGGTTGTGGCAGACATGTTCATGGATAGGTAGGGAAACTTAGCGATTGAAACGTTCAGCCCAGTCCCAAAAGTATGGTGGAGGTATGTAGATGACACATTCACTGCACTTAGAACACAGGAGATAGATAGATTTTTCGAACAAATTAACCCAAAGGTGGAGGCGATTCAGTTCACTTATGATATGGAAATTCAGGAAGGGGAGCTTCTGATGTTAGATTGTAGCGTAAAAAGGAAAGAAGAGAAGTTAAACACTAGTGTGTGCTTACAGGAAACCCACACATTCAAACAGAGAGTTGGACTTCCGATCATCCCACCTTTGTGTCAGTGAAAATAGGATCGGTGAAATGTCTAAGTGATAGAGCACAAATACTAAGTGGTACCAAGGAAAATCTAAGACAGGAAGCGTGGCATGCAAGGGAAGCTTGGAAACTTAATTAATAATTACCCTGATAAATTAGTCAGGAAATATGTAAGGAAATGTAAAAATAAAATAAATAATTATAGTAGTGATGGTGATAATAATAATATTAATGGTGACGTGCATGTCAGACATGCACAGGATAATGACAACACTAACAACAAGGAAACTTAATCATCAGTAGTACTTCCATACAAAGAGGGAACCTCGAAAACCCAATGGAGAATTCTTAACAAGGCAGGAATAAAAGTGGTTGGCATTCAAACCCACAAAATCAATTAGAAACAAGTTTTTTCGGTTACGGGACCAATTCTGTGGGGGCCAATAAAACAAAACAGTTTAGTTTATCATATACCCTGCTGGAATGATTGTCAGGTCAAACACACAGGTGAAAGTAGTAGAACAGGTGCAGTCAGTTTAGCCAAGCATAAAAATCTGGATTAGTTGACCTGAATAAGATAAGAAATCTAGAGGATAGTTCAACTACCTCAAGCACTACATGCGATTACACACAACACAACCATACAATAGGATAATGGGATGAGATGACAGTTTTAAAATCTAATGTAATAGTAGGGTGGAGGGAGGGAGAGATTGATAACGGAAGCTTTGTTTATCGAATCAACTGAGAGAGAATACGTGTAATGGGAATGATTCAGCACCTTTTCAGTCGGATATCTGGAAAATTCGACTACTACCCCTACGACGACAAATAGGAAGGAACAGAGGAGACTATAAAACTCAAGTTTCGAAGTCGTGTGATTATAATTGATGATATGATTATGAACAATAAATAAGTTGTCTTCGAAACTGTGTCATCCAGTAAATAATACTGCTGTTTCACTGACTGTGTGATATATCTAATAAATAAAAAATGTATCATGGAATGACATCCTACTGTTGTTTGTTTCTTTGTTTCATCTGCTATTACTCAAGGTCACGGTTCAAATATTTGTTGTCTAGAAAAAGTCAGTGATGTACCCAAATTGAAACGACCAGTAAATCTTGGAACTTCAATATTGCTGAATGCTGAATGGGGACAAATTGGAGAAGATGGCTGCATAGATGATTACTTAACTGAATATGATAAACTTATAGACAAGTTTTCTTCTGAACCAGGATGTTGTATGTAAGTTAAAGAGTAGGAAATGCTGAGTTTTTTTTTCACCCCACTCACCATTCTAGAGATTCTTTTACACACTGTTTGACTGTTGCGTCGTTAGTAAATTGTAATCATTGTAATTCCCTTAGGTTCATTGTGGAATATAAGAGGATTCAACAGTGTACGTCTTCGTTCCATTCAATTCTTTGTACTTCTGTGTGGAGCTAGCTCGATGATCGCTAATAAGCTCTCCTCTCCTTCTGACACGAATTCCTCCATGTCAGCCTAAGACCGACAGCCAACTTGTCGTTTCTCACTAGACTTCTACCTAATTTTCTGGAAAGTGTCTTCAGTCTGTGTTCGATCCGTCTCCGTAGTTGGTTTGTTGCCAGGGTTCCTTGTTGCATATCCTTTTTTGCTGGTCACCTGATCTTCAGTATGGAACGAAGGCAGTTGTTGACGAAAGTCTGCAGCATCCTGTTTGAAATGCTTCTCGTGACACACGTGTTGAAAAACAACTCACCGATGTCCTTATTATTATTATAATTGTTCCTTTGGGTTCCTAGTGGAACATAGGGCTCCAACTTCACGTCTCCACTTGCTGCTTCTGTCTTCTGCTGTACTTTTCACACCTGCATCCATGTTAGTCCATACTGTTTTAACTCCTCTTCACACGATCTCCTCCATGTCACGCTTGGACGTCCCACTACTCGCCGCTTCCATTTCCGGTTCCACTCGAGCACTGGCCTGACGCGCGATGTCACCCAGTGGCCTCCTCAGCGAGTGAGTGTCCAATCCATCTCCACTTTCTCCTGCATATTTCTTGGGCGATTGGTTCCTGTTTTGTTTGTTCCCATAGCTTCTTGTTTGTGATTCTTTCCAGCCATCTAATCTTCAGTATGGAACGAAGACAGTTGTTGATAAAGGTCTGCAACAGGCTGTTGGAAATATTCTTTGTGACCCGCCGCCAAGTTTCTGATCCGTATGGAAGAACCGACTGACTTGACGTTTGTATTGAAAATCCAAATTTCATTGTCGATGCTGAGTGACGAAGATTTCCAGATTGGTTTCAGATTGATGAATGTGTTTCTCGCCTTCCCGATTCTCGTCTCGATTTGACATCCTCGTCCGTTCCTCCTGTAGTTGAGACAATGCTCCCTAGATAAGTGAATGAAGTAACCTCTTTCATCAAATGCCTCCCGTTGATGGTGATTGGCGTTGGATGTTGTTGCTGCTGTTGTTGTTGTTGGTTGGTTATTTTGATAACCTCCGTCTTGTCTATGTTCACCTGGAGTCCTGTCTTTGCTGCTTCTTCGACCAGTTTGTCGGTTTTCGCTTGTAAGTCTTCCATTTTGTGTGACATCAGGCATAAATCATCCGCGAAATCCAGGTCTTCTAGGTTCTTCACGTCGGTCCAGGATATCCCTGTCTTCTCGTTTCCCACTATCTGACGCATAATCCAGTCCACCACAATTAGGAATATCATTGGTGATAATAAGCACCCTTGTCTGACTCCTGTGTTTACTCCAAACGCCTCGCTGAGTTTTCCGTTGTGGATCACTTGACATGTGCCGTTGTCGTACAGCTGTTGAATAAGGTTGATGAATATTTGGGGTACGCCGTAGTACTTTAGTAGTTTCCAAATTACTTCGCGGTCAGCGCTGTTGAAGGCCTTCTGAAAGTCTATAAAAATGAGGTAGAGGTTTGATTGCCATTCCATGCTTTGTTCGATGATGATACGTAGAGTTGCAATTTGGTCAGAACATGATTTGCCTTTCCTGAATCCAGCTTGTTCTGGTCGGAGTTCTGCATCCAGTGCGTCCTTTATTCTCTGCAGGATGATGCGACTCAGAATTTTACTTGGCGTTGACAGGAGCATGATTCCTCGCCAGTTCTTGCAGAGTCCTAAGTCGCCCTTACCGATGTCCTTAAAAGAATGCAAACCGAACAGGTAATCAGTCATGAAGTTTATGATCAGATTCAACCGACAGGATCAATAATACCAAGACTATACGGCTTACCAAAGATACATAAAGCCAACCTCTCACTGCGTCTAATTTTAGATATGTCAGGTTCCCTGTACCATTCAATAGCGAAATGGTTAGCTGATATCAATGTAAGGTACAAAAATAGGCTCTCTCTTGACATTGAGTCACTATTTACCAACGTTCCACTCACAGAAACTGTCTGTCACATTTGTCAGTATTTAGACGAAAACCAGCGGAACATCAGATTACCGACGACTTGATTAAAAGAACTACTACTGAGATGTACACTTAGTGTACAATTCACATTCAACGATGTTATTTACATACAACAAGACGGGATCACAATGGGATCACAACTGGGCCCATTGCTAGCAGACTGCTTCGTGGCAAACCTCGAGAACGGTCCACTCAAATCAACTATTGACAATTGCTATATAGGTGGACGACATCTTTATTATCTGTGATGACGGCCACGATCTCAATCAGTTACTGCAATTATTCAACAAATGGAATTCAGCTACAAAGTTCACACTTGAAATTGAAAACGAGTCTAAAATTCCTTTTCTTGATGTTGAACACACAAGGAGAGCTAACGGAACTTTAAGAAGGTCCATCTATAGAAAAGCCGAATAAAACGGCCAACTGACAAGCTCCTACAGCTGGGTACCAATTAGTCGAAAAAGAAACCTAATTAAATCTCTTGCTACTCGCGTCAGACGTATCTGCAGCTCTGATACTCTGGAAGAAGAACTACACTTCCTGAAAGAAATCTTCATACAAAACGGATATCCACTAAGATTCATAGACAAAAACATCAAACAGAAAATCCAAAAGCAAGAGACGCCATCCGTGCCAAAAAGGATACTTTATATGAACCTCGACTTCAAAGGTGACCTTGTCAATGATGTCCTTCGGAGGAGAATTTCCACTTCTTTAAGAACTTTCTTTGCGACAACAGTGAGAGCAGTGTTTCCAGTCGCCCAATGTTCTGTAGAAGCCCAAAGGACAAGATCTCGCACCTGACCCCTTCTATGTGTATATATCAGTTCACCTGTTGCTGTGGAGCCAGGTACATTGGTCGTTCGATGTGCATTTTGTCAAAAAGGGTCAAAGATCACTATCCAGCGTGGCTGCAGAAAGGAAGTAATGGCCGTATTAGGAGTGCAATAATCGAACATCTCGTCACCACTATTCATCCCATCCCAACAAACGCCTCCTTGAAAGTGAAGAACAACCTGTACAAAGACAATACGTTTCCGTCTTCTTTGCATTGCAGAAGCCCTAGCCATTCAGTTGGAAGAACCAGAACTATGCATACAAAAGAAAATTATTCAACCACTTCTACTATCATGATAACAACTCTGTTGATTTGACTTAACTTTTACTTATATGCTTATTTTTCTAACTACTTAAAACGCTTGCGTAATTCCGTATGTTATTTTGTTTTCGCGTACACTCTGAGCACAACTCTTTCATCAAACTATTCATGTTATTACGTAACTTCTCTTTAACAATCGTTTGTGACAACTCATCACTTTTGTTACTACCGTCTTATATCAACATCCAATTCATCTGAACACCTTTTTTATTTCGTACGTGCCAAAGCACATACATTGGAAGAACAGAGAGAAGGGTTATTGTCCGCGTTTATGAACACATACGAAAGAACCTGAGACTAAAAGCTCCGCAAGCAATAAACAGTGAGACTGCGCGTCATCTACTGGACACTGGTCATATTGTAAACAACCTGAAGTCGTTCAAAATAATCAACAAGCAAAAGAAACCTAGCTTGCTACGCTTTGCTGAAGCAATTGATATCAAACGACTTAAACCAAATTTATGTACGCAGAAAGAGACAGTGGTGAATCTTGCACTGTCCTAGCGATAACAAAATATACAACTTTTATGAGTCACCCTTTTTCTTGTTTAGAAAACTCTACTCTCTCATCTAAACATGACTCACCATTTCTTGTTCTTTCTTTTCTTCCTTTTTTTCTATTGGCTATTAGATAAAACATTTTCTTTAGTTACGTAATCTAGTTTTTTGTTATGCTCTTTCTAGCTAAACCTTGTTTCTATAATCACACATATATACGCAACTCTGTTTTTTGTTTCCAAGCCTTATTGTCTAACTATTCTATAAATAGTCAGTGTTTGTAGCTCTTAATTAGTCAAATCATTCCGGACTAATGTTACTTTTACTTCCTACAAATTACTCCTTGTGATCGTGGAAAAGTATGTTCAAATCTTTAATGTGATTCATTGGAATAAAGCAAAAATTATTATTATTATTATATATTTCTTATCGTTCAGGTTGTAACCAGTTGAGAAGAATCCTCGAAATAATAAAAGATGAGCTCATATTATCCTGATACAATTGTTGTTCTTGCTTTGTTCAAAAACCTACTAATTGTATTTTCGTTTGACAAATTTAATGTACACACACATACAAAACAACCATATATATTTGCGGTTGTACATGTATGAAAATGAATTCGCCGCCGAAAAGAGACTCTTCACTGAACTACTGGCTTTCTGTCTAAATAAAATTGTCTGGATTTAGAAGGTCAGCATATACTAAGTTTGCCGTTGTTTCATTAGAGAAGAGTCCGAATGCAGTACTTGGTGAGGCAAGCTCACATCTCTGAGAGTCAATAATTCGCTCAAGGTTACAGATGCCTATTGATCGCAAGTGCTCAAAGGCAACAAACCTTGGTCAAAAGGAACGTCCTGCTAACCACCTACAGGACATTACATTATACCAGGAATTATTATTATTATTGTTACGATGGTGAATATAAATTGTGCAATTAGTCATAATAGTAGTAATGATTATAATAATAATAATAGTAATAATAAAAATGGTGTTATCAATAGTAAGGATGAAAAAGTGAATGAATAATGAAAAACAGCATGATTAAACAAACAACTGTTCAGGTGGAAGGAGTATACGAAGAACATTTTATGCAACACACCTATGTTTGTCATTCTCTAGGCGACGAATGATTGGGATGCAAACGAAGGATAAGCTTGACGGTTTTGCCACATCTATGTGCATTTATCAATTCAACTGCACCTGCGGTGACAGTTATATTGGGCGTACTACTAGACAGCCTAGCCAACGTGTTAGTGAGCATTTCCCATCGTGGTTTGGCAAAGGACAGACAAAAACAATTCGTAGCTCAATTTTGTCACATTTAATTGATAATGGTCATGTAATCGAGAAAACGAGAGCCTTCAAAGTGATTCATCGTATCGAACCGAATCTTTCCAATAGACTTCGTATTCGTTTATTGCACACAGCTGAGGCGATAGGCATTCGAACTATTAAACCTAAACTATGCATTCGAAAGAAGTTTGGACAACCATTATCCGCCCCCCAACCGATTACTTATTCACCACCCCTTGTTTATATTTTCAACCCCTTTCTTATCATCCCTTAATCTTATCTCATCTTCATTATAAACGTGTTTCATTTCCTTCCCTTACAATCTAGCATTACGTAATCGGTTCATTTGTTTTTACTAGCCTTTACTGACTACTGCGTCTACCTGAACAGTTGTTTGTTTAATCATGCTGTTTTTCATTATTCGTGTTATCACAGACTGCCTCACTTTTTCGTCCTTATTATTGATAAGACCATTATTATTATTATTATTATTATACAGACACTGCTATTTCAATTTTTTGTTATAGATTTGAAAAACTGAGCAGTGGAATATACATTGGTGAACTATGTCGTGTGATAATGTTGAAAGCTGTTGAAGAAAGATTATTATTTGGTGGTGTTGTGCCAGAACTATTAACAACTCCATATATTTTAACCTATGAACATGTCTTTCTTATTGATCGGTAAGTTATCCTGGAAGTGATGGTGAGGTGCTAGGTAAAATTGACTGACCGACTGAACGACAAGTGTAGATGTGACCATTTCCGAGCAATTATTATTAATTATTATTTACTATTCCTTTGGGTTTCTAATGAAACATAAGGCTTCGAAAGTAAATTTCAGCTTCGTCCTGTTATTTACAACCCTCTTTAAATGGCTCAATGATTGCCTATAAGCTTCGATTTCCCCGTCATATTGTAACGACAGAAGACAAGGGCCAGCCAAACAGATCGTTTATTTAGAAAATCAACAGATATTTATAGATTTTTATGTACATTATTATTAGCGTTATTGTTAGCAGAGAAGCAACGTTTTCTGATTGGTTGTTTTCTCGCTGAAGGTTATTCTGTCATCTCTTTGTGGCCATTTCTTTGAAGGTCAGACCATATATCTGCGAATCGTATCCGCCTACGCGAAGTCTGCTGTGTGATTGGTTGTTGAGTTAGTCTTTGTTTTTGTGTTTTTTCTCATGACATAAATTGCTGTCTACCAATTTTGGCTAGCAGACAGCTCTCACCACATTATGATATCCTCAGTGTCTTCCTAAGATCTACGCCCAACTCATCGCTTTAGTCTCATTCGAGCCAGGTACGTGATTTCACTACTCAACCATTCTTCAGCATGTGTCCAGTGTATCTGCATTTGCTTTTGTATATTTGTTTGGCGATAAGTCCTCGGCTAGTTCGTCTCACTGCAGAATTCTCAGTTGTTTATCCTCTCTTACAGGCTATCTGATCTTAAGTCTGGGGCGAAAACAGCTGTTGATAAAAGTTTGAGATAGCCCGTTAGAAATGCCTTTTGTGAAATGCCTAATTCCCTGAATCCTATAGAGACACTGAGTAATTTGACATTATTGTTGAAGATCTGGTTTCTGTCACTGTCATCACTATTGTGGTGAGAGTTGTCTGCTAGCTAAAATTGGTAGACAGAAATTTACGTCAATGTTTACGTCCCAAATAGGGGTTATGAGAAAAAACAAGAACAAAGACTAACTCAACAACCAATCACACAGCGGACTTAGCGTGGGCGGATAGGTTTCGCAGATACATATGGCCTGACCTTCAAATAAACGGCCGCAAAAAGATGACAGAATAACCTTCAGAGAGGAAACAACCAATCAGAAGACGCTGTTGCTCTGCTAACAACAGCGCTAATAATAATGTACATAAAAATCTATAAATATCTTTTGATTTTCTCAATAAACGATCTATCTCCTGACGGTTATCTTCTGTCGTTACACTCTTACTGGCTTATTGAGGCAAAGCAGTGCGTCTGTGGCCAGGGGTCGAACCCTGAACCATACGATGCATGGTTGGCGAGCATCCTACCGCTGTACTAGCGATGCACACTCAGTACATGTAAAGCAAACTTTATTTTTAAATGTAGCAATTATGCTTCATAATTTATCTTCTTAAATGATATTTCTTTATTACCACGTGAAATGGTAAAACCAAAGACTGTCCTCCTTAGAAGAATGTTATTTTTTATTGAGATGTAGTTTAAAAAATTATAAATAAAGTAATTTAACAATCTCTTAGCAGGGACTGGAGTTTGAGTGTCCGAAAGTCCTAAAGAAAAGCATTTTACCAACTGACAGCTGCTGCCTTGACTTGGCAATCGAGATTGCATGTTACAATTTTTGAAAGAATCTATGCTTGCTGAAATGAATGCTCGTGCAGTTTCCTACCATACCAAGAGTGATTCAACTCAAAGCAATTAGAATCGTAGTGTAAATCCTTTACATTATGTTGCGGCCTGGGGATGTCTGAGGACCAAGTATTACTGCTGGTGAATAGCAGTATAGCGGCAGTAAGTCGTTTCTCTCAGATGACCAGCATGCCAGCTATGCTGTCTCTCTGCAGTAGGCAAGAGGGGTAGGAAAACTCGAATTGACCTGCCGTGGTTCGTGGCTGGCGACAAGGTGTTCATATGTACACGATTCCATAAATCACTTCAGAATGGCCATGTATGTGACTGACCTCAAGCTGTTATCCTCTAATCTCTGAGATTACGGAATACTAAATGTTCCTGTATGGCAGATATTTTAGAAAGAAATCAATTTCCATGGTGTGGACAGCCTGGAAGTAATAACTGTCTATACATTTCCCCAGATCAGATGGCCGGAAAAACAAGAACCAACAAGAAACTATGGGAACAAACAAAACAAGAATCGGTCGCTCAACAAATATGCAGGAGAAAGTGGAGATGGATTGGACACTCACTCGCTGAGGAGGCCGCTGGGTGACATCGCGCGTCAGGCCAGTGCTCGAGTGGAACCCGAAAGGGAAGTGGCGAGTAGTGGGACGTCCAAGGGTGACATGGAGGAGATCGTGTGAAGAGGAGTTGAAACAGTATGGACTAACATGGGTGCAGGTGAAAAGTACAGCAGAAGACAGATGCAGCAAGTGGAGACGTGCAGTTGAAGCTCTGTGTTCCACTAGGAACTCAAGGGAACAATAATAATAATACATTTCCCCATCATCATCACCATCATCTTTACATTTTCAGAATATTACGCCTAACAGACCCCTGTCGGCATTTAAGAATGTCACAGTTATGTACCAGTGCCTATGGAACGACGAATTCCTGCGGATAATTTTAGTCCTGTATGCTGTTAGTCATAACCTGAAGGATCGGTCGGTCGGTCGGTGTTTTCGACATAGAACTTTGCACATATGTGCGGCAGTTCAAGTCGCCGCACTCCAAGTACCACACAAACGAAGAGAAGAAATTAGAAGAAATGCATATTAGAAACAGTAAACAGAGGTGTGAGACAAAGGAATAGGAATAACGAAGAACAAAACAGTTTCATTGCAAATCATAAGTCATAGAGATGCACCGCCAACCACTGAGAAGGATTTTGAGCCATGTCACCAATTGTTTCCAACCATTGGTTTTTACCGTCCCGAGGACCCCAACTAGCCAGTCAGGAAGTCTACACCTTCCTACGTGGCTGGCTTAAACTAACTGTTGTGGATTTCATTGACTGATGAGGCCATGTTTTGGTTTGACTACCGCTAGCTCTTTTCCAGCCTGACCCTATATCAGCTAACATTGCCCGTCGAGGAAGGCGATGACTAGGCTACCGTGTGTAACACATGTCCTAACCATCTCAGTCGATGTAATTTCCCCTCCTTACCTAGCACTCGACGCCTAACCTCGGTATTGCTCACCTTATTATACCACTTCACGCGGGAGATGGAACGCAGACACCTATGATCAAAGACAGCTAGCTAGCTTTTTCATGTCCTCCACTGTCAATGGCCAGGTCTCGCTCACAGCCATAGAGGAGGACGGAGCGCACTGATGACCAGTACACACGCCCTTTGGTCGATAGTCGGATATTGCGTCTACGCCAGAGACGGCGTAAACTGGCATATGCGAAACTAGCCCTCTTTATTCGTACTGAGATTTCGTCAGAGATCAACCTGTTGGGGCTGATGGTACTTCCCAAATAAGTGAAGCGGTCAACGTCAAGCAGGAGATTTAAGTGGCAGGCATTCCTGATAATATATATTTTGCTTATCCAGCATACTTCCATTTTTTATAAATAATTTCTTTGTAATTTCTTTCTTACTAACACTGGGAAAGTGATCCAGCGAATGTTTTTTTCGGTGCTGAAATGGTTCTACGACAACGTTTTAAAATGACCGAGATTAAAAGGAAAGATTTAGTCGGTGTTCGTTATATCAGTTTTGTGGTGATTAATCGAGCTGCACACTTAATTGGTACTGGTAAGTGAGTAGTTCTCATTTATGCTGTGTGGTATCCATATATAATAATAATAATCTACTTTATTCCAAAAACAGACAGTACTTATAATACAGAATCGAATTCTCAGCATTTGTCACAACACCTTGCATCTGATTTACTCAAAATATAAATAAAATTAAAAATTAAAACAAAATTAACCAGAGGAATTTGTCCACATTTACGATATAAAGTCAAAAATATTCGAAGTACAAAGTGAGAATTCAAGTGTTGGTTTGTAGGGATTTGGTTGGTTACAGGATTTTCATCATGAGCTGACATTAGTTAGGGAACCATTGGAAAATCTGGGAGTACTGGACAGCTGTTTCGTCCTAGTTTGGGACTCTTCATCAGTACGCACCCACCACCAACGTTCGAACCCAGGACCTTCTGGTTACAAGGCGAGCTCATATATAATTAAGGTACTGGGACCCGATCCAATGGTCCATGAATTCTAACTTCTGCCAATTCACGACATAGCGCGACCCCTAGCCAATGTCTTCGGCGAGTATTTGTCCTCACACCCGACCTGCTGCAACCTACTGGTCACAACTTAGAATTCATCGACCATTGGATCGGGTCCCAGTGGCTTAATGGTATACGAGCTCGCCTTGTAACCACAAGGTTCTGGGTTCGAACGTTGGTGGTGGGTGCGTACTGCTGAAGAGTCCCAAACTGGGACGAAACAGCTGTCCAGTACTCCCAGGTTTTCCAATGGTTCTCTAACTAATGTCAGCTCATGATGAAAATCCTGTAACAAAGTGAGAATATTAAATATAATAATAACAGTGAATTTGTTTCAAACAGTATTGTCGATTCAGTTTGGAAATTTTAGCATGTTATAGAGGCGTTGAATCTAATGTTCTGTTGATGTAGCAGCATGGTGAGGGGAAATACAAAATTAACACTTATAACACAGCTTAAATGATGTTCACACTTATGAAAAAATAAACAAATAAAAACAAAAAAACTGAGAGGATTATAAATATAAGAAGTACAATAACAATAAAGGTTGATGTTGTGCGGGTGGAGGAAATGGTTTATTTACTAGTGCAAAGAAGGTTAGTTAGTTCATGCCTAACACTATTTTCATCACATAAAGTACGTGCTGTCAAATATGGCATAGTGGAATTTTTATACTTAGAGGTACGCGCATAAAGTCTTTTGAAATGACTTCTTGTTTTACCTGAGGAGACACAAGGTTGGAGCTGTGGGTAAAGTGGGTGCTCGCAGTCTGACAGAATCCCTCTAGCAAATTTGTTGCATATAACCAGGTGCCTATCATCAATGACGATGTCAACGATATGGCCCAATGGGTGAGCATACCACTTGCCCCACTGAAAGTCTTCAGAGTTCTACGAAGTATGACATAGTCTTTTTTAAGCAATCCAGGAAAGAATAAGAGTGAACAGTAAAGAAGAATAGGTAAAATACACGAGTTGACAAACTGTAAGAGGAGGAGGGGGTGAGTTATGCTTGAATACCTTAACTTCTTAATGTCAAATGTCGAATGGAATATTCTTCTAGAAATTGCTAAGACATGGGTAGACCAGGATAGGTCAGAAGAAAGAATTAATCCAAGATACTTAACTTCAGACTTGGTTTCTATATCACTATCATCAATTTTGCAAGGGTTATAGGAACCAACAGCTTCATTTAACTTTCGTTTACATCAGAAACTGAAATTAACAGTCTGACATTTGGAAGGATTTAGTTTAAGACAACCATTAGACGAAGACCATTTGCTAATTCCTGATAGAAAGCTGTTCATCTTAGTACAGTCTAGCTGGAAGCTAACAGACGTTGAAATAGTTAGATCACCGGCATACTTAACAAAGTTCATTTCATAATGAGAGTGAGGCAAGTCGTGCAAGAAGAAAGAAAACAGAAAAGGAGAAAGGACAGCGCTTTGAGGGACACCAGCCTCAGTAAGTAACGAAGTGGACGACTTTCCCTGGTTACTGAGTCGAAAGCAGATGTGTAATCTAGGAAGGTGCATATATATATACATTCGTTTATAGGAACTAGTTTATATATGTCCAAAACAAGTTCACTTTTAACAGTTTGAAAAAATTTGGGCATTGGGTATATGATATTCATTATAACGAAAGTTTTTTGTATTTCCCAGTGAATGAAAAACAAAACGATATTGTTGTGCTTTTTACTGACGTTTCGCTATTTAATGCTGCTGCTGATAGCTTTATCAAAGTAGTATTATTAAACCAGAATTTACAAAATCCACTCAGCTTATATATATAACAATTTAATTTTTTTTATTCCTTCACGTTCCCAGTGGAACATAGGGCACCTTCAAGCTAGAGGCTTGAAGTTTCTGTAGCAGTACTGTTTATTTTTACGAGATGGGTTTGCTGGACTAATGCCCAACCTTCCTTCTTTACCAGTCTTATTACTGGCTTAGCGTCCGTGGCAGGGGATCGAACCCCGGACCATGTGCATAGTCGGCGAGCGTCCTAACCACTGTGCCACCGACGCACACTAACAACTTAATCATCGACATTAAATATCGTCGAAAACGTATTCCAAAGATATGGGCCTCAACAGTTTTCATTCCATATAGATGGATCAGAAACGTCAGGCGATAGATATCAGAAGAGTACTCAATACGCACAACATCAGAGTTTTCTTCAAAACATCAGACAAAGCAAACAAAGCTACCTTGTCCATATAAAAGATCAAATCCCTAAGGATTCTCAGTCTTATTGTATCTATAAAATAAAATGCTTGGAATATTATGCGATATACATCAGACAAAGATCACCAGAGAGAAATTAAAATCAGAAGAAATGAACATCGTAGAATCGCCTCTGTTCGACCACTGAAAAATGCAGTTGTTGAACTAGAAAAGCTTGAAAAATCATCAGCCATAGGTCTACACGCTACGCTATAGAATCAGGCCACAAAATTGATTTTGACAATATTGAAATCATCATCCAGAAAAAGCATTTCAGAAATCACAAAGAACGTCTAATATCAATGAGAAGCACTTCATATAAAATGAAAGCAAAATTCGCTAAATAGGAATGATGGACTAAAACAGAATTTGACCTGGTTACAACACCTCCCTCCCCAATGAAGTGACAAAATCAACACGAATGTGATAAGCAATTTCATTATGTAAATACAAACTGCATAGCCAATATATATATATATATATGATCAGCAGTTGAACTATGTATGTCGTAGTCTACACTTTCAAAGCAGTTAATTGTCACTCCTTTGCATTTCGACTGGAATATGGCTTCAAGCTCTTGTTTTGAAGTGCCACTGGTGGTGGCATCATCCTTCTACACGCGTAACCATCTCTCTTTTCCAGACTTCCTACCGTCTAAGTAGTGCGTATCATTGTATCAGCTGGGAATCTAACCGGGCTCAGGAGTGCGTGGTTTAAACTCCTTGTTCATCAAAGCCTACTTTTTGTCTAACTATCCTGTCAACGTTTCTATAAAATGCAAACATTTTTGTACAATAAAAACCAATGGAAAAAGTTTTCTTGACAGCTGTTACAAGTACATTCATACGCCACCAAGTCACCGTTATCTGCTGACCAAGGAACACAGACGACAACTTAAACAGCCTCAAGAAAATAAAGATATAATCCTCGTCCGTCATGATAAGGGCAATGGTATTGTAGTAATGAATAGATCCAATTATAATGACAAATTGACAAATATACTATCAGATAACACCAAATTCTTCGAATCACCCGACCAGAAAGACACAACCGAAAGAACTGAAAACCTACTTACAAAATTGCTGAAGAGAATGAAAGAAGATTCAGTCATAACACCGAAGGTTTATGAGCAAATAAAGCCATGCAGTTCAACTATTCCAAGACTGTATGAACTGCCTAAAGTGCATAAGGAGAATGTCCCACTTCGACCTGTCATAGACATGGTTAACTCACCATACCACCAAATCGCGAAGTGGCTAGCTGATATCCTCGAACCAGTTAAAAGACATATGACAAAATATAGACTAAGAGATATATTTGACTTCATCGACTCAGTGAAGGGTGTCAACGTGTCTGAAAGACAAATGATCTCACTAGATGTCACCTCTCTATTCACAAGTATCATCCTAGCCGAAACAATATGCTGCATTTTTAATTACATCGAAACAAACAACCTAGAAGTTCCTCTCCCAATAAACTACCTGAAGGAGCTTCTTCTCAGATGTGCGTTCAATATCCATTTCAAATTCAATGAAAAGTTCTATGTACAGAAAGATGGGGTAGCCATGGGGTCTCCTCTCGGTCCACTCCTAGCCGACTGCTTCATGGCGAGTATTGAAAACAACATCCTCAATCCCTTGATAAGTCAACTACACTTATACAAGAGATACGTAGATGATACGTTTATAATCTGTGATGAAAATTGTGATTTAGATTCTCTCCTCAAAACCTTCAACGTAGCGCATCCATCAATAAGTTTCACCTTAGAACGAGAATCGAACAACGCATTTCCGTTCCTTGATGCACTACTCACCAGAAGACAAGACTGTACGATCCAAAGATCAATATACCGCAAGCCAACTTGGACTGAACAGTTTATCAACTTCCAGAGCTTTGTCCCACTAATCCGAAAGAGAAACCTGGTACGTACGTTGTGTTCAAGGATTAGAAAAATCTGCTCGGAAGAAATGGTAGAGAAAGAATTATATTTATTACGTAAAACCCTACTAGAGAATGAGTATCCACCAAGATGTATTGAAGTGACATCACTAGACAAGCCCTCGAGTGAAACCCGTAAGGGAAGCGACGAGTTGGTCGTCCAAGGGTGACCTGGAGGAGATCATGTGAAGAGGAGATGAAAGCATGTGGGCAGACCTGGAGCCAGGTGAAGACTCTAGCAGAGAACCGAACGCAATGGAGACGCATGGCTGAAGCCCTATGTTCCTCTAGGAACTAAAGGAAATAATAATAATATAATAAGATGTATTGACGAAAACATGAAGGAGAAGCCTCCGGTGTCAAACATTGCAACGGTTCTTAAGGAAACTCTCCTCATGAACCTAGAATTCAAAGGTGATGTCGCAGCGGAAATTCTCAGAAACCGCCTTTCTAAATGTCTGAAGAAGACATTTCCAACAGCTACTCTACGTATCACATTCTCGTACAGACAGTTAATCCAGTCTAACGCTAAGGACGAGATAACGCCTTTGGCCACTTCAATGTGCATTTATCAATTTACTTGCTCGTGTGGAGCAAAGTATATCGGCCGTACGCAACGTCAAGTCCAGCTTGGTTAGCCAGAGGAGAAAAGAAGAATAGCAACAGCTCGATCCTCGAACACCTTGTCATCTCTGGACATCGAGCACCCCCACATGAATGCTTCACAGTGATACACAGAGTCCCTCAATAACGTACAAAAGGACTTTGGATACGCTATCTGTACATAGCCGAAGCATTAACTATTCGAGATCTGAAACCGGACCTCTGCATCCAAAAGCGATACAAACATTCTCTTGCCCTACCATGGCCAGAGTAAGGTTCTTACCACAATTTTGCTTCTTTCCTTTATTATGTAAGTTCGCTATTATTACTATTATTATTTTATTTTATTAATACTTTTATTATCATTATTGTTCCCATCATCCACATTTTATTACCACTCTATTACTGTTTACTAATAACGTTGCTTTTCATACATATTTTATACAAAAACACTTTATAGCTTTTCCACTAGTTCCTGTCCATTTTACACGAGCTTATTGATTATTCATTATCTCACACTTATTACGTCATGCCAACTTCTGTCTCCTTTCTAACTTACAATTAGTCACCCCTTCTTACACCTTACATTATGCAATACAATTTTCCAAGGACAAAATTTACCAGTATGTGATTGGTCTAAAGATTTCTTAGTTAATTATAATTACGATTGTACAGCTCATGAAAACGAATCGTCAAAAAGAAAATTTTCTTCGCTAATTGTGCCTTTGCACTTCGACTGGAACATGGCTTCAAGCTTGTGTTTTGAAGCTTGAGTTGTGGTGGCATCATCCTTCTACACGCGTGACCATCTCTCTTTTCCAGACTTCCTACCGTTTAAGTAGTGTGTAACATTGTATCAGCCGGGAATCTAACTGGGCTCAGGAGTGCGTGGTCTAAACTCCACTTCATCAAAGTCTCTTTTTCGTCTAACTATTCTATCAAAGTTTATATAAAATGAAAACATTTTTTATTATAAAAATAAACGGAAAAAGATCTCACAAGATTTCATCATGAGTTGGAGTTGGTTAGAGAACCGTTTGAAAACCAACTGAGAGAACTGCTAGACAGCTGTTTCGCCCAGCCAGTTGGGGAATCTTTAGCAATACACACCCACCACAGTGGTTCGATGTCACAAAAAATCGAAGACTTACAAGCGAAAACCGACAAACTGGTCGAAGAAGCAGTAAAGACAGGACTCCAGGTGAACATAGACAAGACGGAGGTTATGAAAATAACCAACCAACAACAACAACAGCAGCAACATCCAGCACCAATCACCATCAACGGGAGGGATTTGAAAGAGGTTACTTCATTCACTTATCTAGGGAGCATTGTCTCAACTACAGGAGGAACCGACGAGGATGTCAAATCGAGAATCGGGAAGGCGAGAAACACATTCATCAACCTGAAACCAATCTGGAAATCTTCGTCACTCAACATCAACAACAAAATTCGGATTTTCAATACAAACGTCAAGTCAGTCAGTTCTTCTATACGGATCAGAAACTTGGCGGCGGGTCACAAAGAATATTTCCAACAGCCTGTTGCAGACCTTTATCAACAACTGTCTTCGCTCTATACTGAAGATCAGATGGCCGGAAAGAATCACCAACAAGAAACTATGGGAACAAACAAAACAAGAACCAATCGCCCAACAAATATGCAGGAGAAAGTGGAGATGGATTGGACACTCGCTCGCTGAGGAGGCAGCTGGGTGACATCGCGCGTCAGGCCAGTGCTCGAGTGGAACCCGAAAGGGAAGCGGCGAGTAGTGGGACGTCCAAGGGTGACATGGAGGAGATCGTGTGAAGAGGAGTTGAAACAGTATGGACTAACATGGATGCAAGTGAAAAGTACAGCAGAAGACAGAAGCAAGTGGAGATGTGCAGTTGAAGCCCTATGTTCCACTAGGAACCCAAGGGAACAATAATAATAAATAATAACAGTGGTTTGAACCCAGAACCTTTCGGTTAAACAGTGAGCTCCTAGATCATTCAACCACTGGGATTTGATCGAATAGTTCATAAAATTCCATGTTTTTTAATTTAATTTTTAATTATCTTTTATAATTTTTTTCGTCTTGGTATTTGTTTCCCTCTTTCTTTCTGGATTGATTGATAACTCATCGAAAGCTTGTGCTGCACTAATTAATCAATTGAAACGGAAACGGATTACCATAGCTGTAGATGGAACATTCTTTCGATTGAGTAAAACATTTACGGATGTGCTGAAACGGACTATTAGTAAATTAATACCACAAAAATATTCTGTAAGTTTATGAAAATATTTTTATTTCTTCAATTTTATTTACTTTTTTTAATTTTAAAATTATTTGATGAAAAGTAAGCTGAGGGTGAATTTCAGGGCAAAATATAATAACAAAAACAAAGAATTCGGCGAAGAAAATTGTCTTTTTGACGATTTCATTTTCAGAGCTGTCTTTTATTCCTTTACGTTCCCAGTGGAACATAGGCCGCCTTCAAGCTTCTACCAGTTCGTGATTTAGCCCGACCGGCATCAACCAATGTTATCAGTGGGACATCCATCCTCAATCTTGACTAGATGAGCCTAACTAATGCCTACAAAACAAATCTTGAAAATTAATCTGATGCCCACTAGTGACCTGCAATAGGACGAAGTTTCGTGGAGTTCTAGTGAGAAGTCATGACCAGTGAGGTCCATCCAGATGTCATGTGTGAGGATGGATGTCCCACCGATGACATTGGTTGGTACCAGTCGCGCTAAATCACGAATTGGTAGAAGTTAGAATTCACGAGTTGACCACTGAATCGTGTCCCAGTGAGTGGCTGGATGGTATACGAGCTAGGTTGCCTTATAACTGGAAGGTCCTTGGTTCGAACCATTGTGGTGGGTGCATACTGCCGATGATTCTTAAACTAGAATTAATAACTAAATAAATAAATAATGGTCAACCTAAAGTTCAATAGACACGTGTGAAATAGATGATCGGAGAATAAAGTAAATTGCATTCGGAAATGTGAATATGTGAATATAATTTGATGATGGAGACGACATAGGATGAGTGAAATGTTTTCAAAGTAGTAGACTAGATAAAATGTTAAAGTATGATAACATACAGTAAAAGGAAATGAAATAAAAATGGAACATAGAATAAAGAAGGATAAAAAAGTTGTTATGCGAATTACATAGTTAAATCAAGACCGTGGGATAACGAAAGAGATCGTACAACCTGTTATTTATTGCCAAAGCCTCTGCTATACAAAGAAAATTCACTCATGTCCCTTTCGGCAAACTCTGACAGGTTTTGTAGACTATATTGAATTATGTGTCAGATGCTGGGTGGTCAGTATCTACAATATGTTGTGATATGGATGAATAAATACCTCTACGTTCTGCTTTGCTCAGCCAAACTGGGAGGTGCTCTTGAATGCGGCGGGATATAATAGGCAAACAGAAGGTGTGGCGATGGGATGGATGCCCAATATCCCCTATCGGAGCAGATATCTTTTTGGATACCTGGGAAAATATTGCTCTCAACACAACATTTAATCCTACTCCACAAACATGGTGCAGATATGTGGATGACACTTTCACTCACAGTGCTTAGTTAAGTGTCTAACAAACCGAACAATAGTACTAAGTAGTACAACAAAAAACTTAAACGATAAAATAAAACAGGTAGAAGAAGAAGCGTTGGTGTTAAATAATTTAACCATCCTATAAAATTCATCAGGAAGATCAGAAAAGGTCAAAAGTAAAACAAAAATAGTGGTGAAACTAATAATGATAGAATAAATAAGGAAGAATATATATAGGATTCTCTATAAAGCAGAAATTAGAGTGGCATTTAAACCCACAAACTCACTCAGAGACAAGCTCTGTAGGTTAAAGGACCCGATGGACCCGATTAAGCAAAATAATATGATTTACAAAATACCTTGCAATGACTGTGAGTGAAGTCAACTACATAGATCAAACCAGTAGATGAGGGGGGGGGTAGTCAGTCTGTCAGGAAATAAGAATTTAGGGAAGGTTATAATGACTGACACCACGAAGATGAGTAATTTAGGAAAAAGTTCAGCAATTTCATTGCACACATTAAGACACAACTACACAATAGGATGGGATGCAGTTAGAAGTCTAAAAATTACTATAGGTAGGTGGAGAGAGGTAGAGGCTGATTACTGAATCCTAGTTCATCGAGTCTGCACCCAACACATGCAACAGAAATGACTCAATGCAAATACCAGAGATATGCATGGAAGATATTATTACCACCAGTCAGTCAGTCAAATCAGAGGAGGATAATAAATAATCTTAAAATTCTATTTCAATTCATGTACATCATAACATTCTAACAAGTTACTTATTTTGACTATAAAAACACTCGTCTTATTTCCCATCTGATTGTAATTGATTGATAACACTCATATTATTATTTCTGAATGTACATTATCCTATATTACTGATTTTATTCAAATGTCTAATCATCAGTTCCACTCATGTATATAAATGAAGCGAGAAAGTTGTGTGAGTGAGTGACTTGATATGATTATGAGCAATAGTTTGTGCTCGAAACGTGTCATCAGTTAATATTACTGTACAACACTGTGTGGCACTTTATCAAAATAAAATCTTATCCATAAATGGAGTTATACTCTACCGCCACATTGCTCAAGTTTGATACTTATGTATATTGGTATCTAAATTGCTAACTTTAGGATCGTAATCACTAAATTTGGGAACTAGAGATAAACCTCTAAGTGAAACTTACTAAGCACGACACTGGAAAAAGTGTGAACATACCGATCCGGAACTGACGGAAATTTCCTTTCAAGCTCTTGTCTTTCAAGAGATTCAACAAGACTCATCCTTTTGTTTTTGCTTCTGTTTGAGGTCGTTAAGATGAGTGCGAATTTATTTTAATTCTAAGAGTTTAATAGAAAGACATGCCATTAATCAGACCGGCTTTGTTAAAAGTCTTATAAATGATCTCGAAAGGAACATATCACAAAGACAATTTTCTGTTGATGGCTTTACCTCAGGAATTACAATTGATGTTCTTGGAATATGTATTCATTTCCTCGATGTGAACTTATCAAGGAGGACCGATGGAACTCTGAAGAGATCGATTTATCGAAAGCTGTCATGGAATGGTCAACTGACAAATTTCTACAGCTGGGTACCCATTGGTCGAAAACGAAACCTGGTCCGGTCGCTTGCCACTCGCATTCGGCGCATATGTAGCCCTGATACTGTGGAAGATGAGTTATACATTTTGAGGAAAATCCTAATAAAAATGGATTTCCACCACGTTTTATAGATAAGAATATACATTCAAATCCTATAAAACGTGACTTATCATCCGTACCCAAGAAAATACTTTACATGAGCTTGGAATTCAAAGGGGACTTAGCTTCCGATATCATGAAACGAAGGATATCACAGTCCCTGAACAGAACATTCCCTGCTGCATCTCTGAGAATAGCCTTTACTAGTCGACCATTACTGTTCAGTAACCTGAAGGACAAGATCCCGCTTTTGACCAACTCTATGTGTGTTTATCAATTCACCTGCTCGTGTGGAGCTAGGTATATCGGTCGTTCGACAAGAGTTTTGTCCAAGAGGGTGCAAGAACACTATCCTGCATGGTTACGAAAAGGTGGAAGTGGAGCAATAAGAAGCGCGATCATTGAACATCTGGTCGATAATGATCACCCTATCTCTATAGCCTCCGCCTTTAAAGTCATCTACAAGGCAAAGAGTAATTTACCCAAATCCCTACATACCGATTCATCTGTATTGCTGAAGCTTTGGCTATCGAAACAGAAAAGCCAGATCTCTGTGTACAGAAAAAGTTCGTTCAACCCCTCCAACTTTCATGGTCTTAATCCCTCTATGCTAAAGTATGGTAATCTCCAATCATATTTTAGCTCTACCAATTTTTCATTTTTGTCTATTCAATTTGTAGTCTCTTCCTTATTACGTCAATTGTTACTATTACTACTCTCACTTTGAACTGTTCCCGGTATTATTTCACTTGTTCCACTTGTCATTCTAAATCAATCTGTTTTGCAACGTTAAATTCTATGCTATTAAATTTCACACAATATTACGTAACGTTTTTATTTTATTCGATTTGTCTACTAATCCTATAATTGCACACCCTTTTTCAAGTTCTATCCATCCTATGAATTATTCTATATATGACATTAATTTGCTTTGCCACTTGACATTTAACTATGATTGTAATCACAAACATTTTAGTTTTAATTGCATTTCATACTATCACTATTATTATTTTATGCATTCACACCTATGATTCAATTCCCTCACCGGATATAACTTCTTAAAAGCCAGACGTGTACATACGATTGTACAGCTTGATGATAAATTCGTTGAAAAGAGTCTCTTCGCTGAATCACTTGTTTTGATTTTCCATGTTAATAATGTAACAGTAAAAACAGAAGGAATAATAAAAGGGTTCGTCTCGTAAAATCTCTTGAAAGGCAAGAGCTTGAAAGGAAATCTCCGTCACTTCCGTGTTAGTATGTTCACAATTTTTCCAGTGTCGTGCTTAATAAGTCTCAACTGGAGGTGTTATCCCTAGGTCCCAAATTTAGTGACTATAATCCTAAAGATATTATTATTTTATTATTACTTAGCTTAATTTTTGGTGAATATATATATAAACATTAATTTTCTTTTTCAAGTTCAAACTTCACTTAGTAGATGATGCAAGCGCTGAAGGGATAACAGCCATAATCTCATCATTACGAGGTGATTTAGCGCATCGTCTAAGTTATGCAGGAGAAGCTGATTTGGAATCAGAATCAGAGGAACGCAGAGAACTTGAAGCAATTCTTATACAAGAAGGTCTTGATTTATAATAATGTAATATATTTATTACGGTGTGACTGAAAATTTGTACAAATATTACATATATGCATGTATGCATACATCTACTCCTCTGGTAAGGAACATGACGTGTCAAGTTCCTTTCACTTAAATAAGCATAACATACATTCAGCATATATGTATTTGTCAGATTTACATATATTTAAGGCTAATTCACCAGTATTGTTGTAATCTGCATGTATGCTTTTGCATGTGAGTGAGAATGAATGAAATATATTCATTATAGACTCTGAGAGTTCTATTCTAATTTGACTTATACTGGGTGATCTAGTTGGTCATATGCTCCCTTTGTGCTTTCGAAACATTTTATTACCAGAGCCGACAGTGGCAATAGGATCGTGCGCCACCTAATGGTTCCGTACATGTTTTTAGGGAAGGTTGTATGCTGTGTGAATTAGCCTAGATCAAATAGTGTTCGCACGTCGGTGGTTCAGCGGTAGAATGCTCTCCAGACCCTGGCCACAGACGCCCTTCTAAACCGCCATCAGCCATAAGTAGACCTGGCAAAGGGATACCACTGTTACCGAAGCTTCAAGGCCCAAGATTGAAGCCCTGTGCACCACTCGGAATTCAAACGAGATGGAAATTTAAAAATATAAATTATACTACTTAAATTTGTATATAAGTAACTTAAGTCGTTCTGGCAAATTTTAATAATAATCCACCTCCATTGTGGAAATTGCTTACACGCGATATGGAACTGACAGCGTAATTTCTTGCAAAATGATTACTGTTCGTATAAAATCTCCAAATGAAGCATTTATCGATAGTAAATTATACGGTGCAACTTATTTTCATCTGAAAAAAGACTCAACCCTCCAGGATATTTCTGCTTTATTTTCTTCTTGAAGTACACAACGGTAGATTGGAAGTCATTTAGAAGTTTGCATGATTTCATGTTACCACACAAAGAAATAACTGGAAGGCGAGGACATTTAGGAGTGAAAAAAAGTATAGGCATTGAGCTGGAGGGAAATTCAAGCAGCCCAGGTGTTTAAGGCGATCATCAAATAATTATTTGATTGGTTGGAGGATTTCATCAATAGCTGACATCAGTTAGGGAACGATTGGAGAACCTTCAGGGAGTACTGGACAGCTGTTTCGCCCTGGTTTGTGACTATTCATCAGTACGCTCCCATATGGGTTCAAACCCAACCAGTCAAACAAAAAATCCCTACAAAACTAATACTTGAAAATTGATTTGATGCTCACTAGCGACTGACCCTATTCAGGCAGTGACCTGGGGTTCTAGTGGGAAGCCGTGACCAGTAGGGTACAGTAGGTTGAAGATGAGGCAGTAACTCATCGAAGAAGACATTGCGAAGTGGTCGCGCTATGTCATGAACTGTCAGAAGGTAGAATTCATGGACTGGCTGGCCATAGAATCGGGTCCCAGAATATAGTTAATAGCTCGACTTGTAACCAGATGGTTCTGGGTTCGAGCCCCAGTGAGGTGGGTACGCACTGCTGAAGAGTCCCAAACTAGGTTGACGAAACAGCTGTCCAGTACTCCCAGCTGGTTTTCCAATAGTTCTCTAACTGATATCAACTCATGATGAAATCCTCCAAACAATCAAACAAAATCCCCTACAAAACCAATACTTGAAGATAATTATTTAACCTTGTTATTATTTATTATTAAAACTGTGTGTTGGAATAAATTTCAATGAAGACAGCAACAGTTTTGTTCATGACGGAGAAATATTTTTTTCTAGTGAATTCAAGCCATACAGTCATATTTATTTTACGGAAAGTGCCACTAGATGTCATTAAAAAGTGGTGGATCTGGACTTCGCCGATGACATATGTCTGATTTTCCACAAACTGGAAAATATGCAAGTGAAAGCAACAAGTTTGCACAAGAAGCATCAAAGATAGGACTTCGGGTGAACATAGAGAAAACAGAGGTGATGAGGATTCCTGGACAAGAACAACTACAACGGACAACGATCAGCATAAATGGAGGGAAACCTGAAAGAAACAACCTCTTTTACCTACTCGGGAAGCATCGTTTTGACTACAGGGGGACGGAACTGACGAGGATATCAAAGTAAGAATCAGAAAAGCACGACAGGCTTTCACTACTCTCAAGTCTGTGTGGAGGTCAACAGCACTCATCATGAAAAATAAGATCCGAATTTTCAACTCCAATGGGAAGTCAGCGCTACTTAACATACGGATCAGAGACTTGCACTGCGCGTCATAAAGAGCATCTCAAACAAACTACAGACCTTCATCAACAGCTGTCTTCGCTCAATACTCAAGATCAGATGGCCAGAAAAGATCAGAAACAGAGATCTCTTGGAGCGAACCAACCAGGAACCGATTGTGTTATCACCTACCTAACCTGTCATATACTCTGGTAGTGTTCTGGCGACTTTTGTTGCCAGACCTGCCAGATCTGAAATAGTATGCGACCTAATGACTGTGTGCAAGGTTTGAAGAAGACTGTGTACGAATAGCTCAGTGGTTAAGTGTCTGACTGCAGCACACTGGGTGACGCAGATTCTAATCTCTGTAGGGACATGAGTTCCTTCAAGATTACAGATATTCCCTGCTGACTGGTGAGTGCCAGCTATCAAGAAACCTAGAAACCTTGCTTAGCTTAGTAGCTTTCTAGTTCTCTAGCCGGTCTCAAGCCTAGGTAAAGAGGGAAGGTTGGGCGTGGGGCTAGCGAACCCACACCACAAAAGCTAACAAACTGCTAGAGAAACTTCAACGCACACGAAATATATTAAAAATACAAAAAATTCAGTAGTGCAGTCAGAGACGTTACCAGTGAGCGATTTGAACTTGCGATAGGCTGGGAGAATTCAGTCTACACGAAGTGAAGTAATGAATGCATGACATTAGCTATTACTTAGTGTCTAATCAAAGTAATAAAAACATACGATAAGGGATAATTCCACTTCACATTATCACATAGCAATCCATAATGTGGTGTTGTAAACGCAAATAACTACCAACAGATTCTACTTTGTCAACTCTACAAATCAAGAATTTTCACTGGAACTCGAAAACACCAATTGGACTGACTAGTTGAGTGCATTTCAGTATATTACTCTGGACAGAAATGAACCAGTTCAAGCTACCACACTGCATATACCACAGAAATGTAGAGAAAGGAGAGCAATAAGAAACTGAATAGAACTCTGTTAGGGAGAAATGTACACTAGAAAGAACAGTTACATAGTAAGCCATGAATGTGCAGTGGATCTGACAGATTATTATTATATTATTATTTTTCGCTTGGGTTCCGATTCGAACGTAGGGCTTCAACAACACATCTCTACTTTGTTCTATTTTCTGCTGTCCTCTTCAGCTGGCTGGCCCTACGATTGTCCATAAGCTGTCATCCCCTCCAACTACCACTATCTCCTCCGTGTCACCCTCGCTACGACGACCCACTCGTCGATTCCTATTTGGATTTCACTGGAGCTATGGTCTGGTGCGCAATGTCATTCAATGGTCTCCCCAATGTATGCCTGATCCATCTCCATTTTCTCCCACATATTTATTGAGCGAATGACTTTCGCCTGTTGGTTTGTTCCCACAGTTTCTTATAACTTATTCTTTCTGGCTATTTGATCTTCAGTATGGAGCCAGCCAGCGAAGGCGGCAGCTGTTGATAAAAGTCTGCAGCTGGCTGTTGGAAATCCTTTTCGTGACACGAAAGCTCAGTGCAAGTTTCTGACCCGTATGGGAGAACCCATTTGACATTGGTGTTGAAAATCCGAATTTTGGTCCTTATGCTGGGTGTAGAAGATTTCCAAACTGGTTTCAGGTTGATGAAGGCGTATCTTGCCCTTCCGATTATCGCTGGCTGGCTTTGACGTCTTCATCTGTTCCGCCTGCCTGTAGTTGAGACGATGCTTCCTAGATAAGTGAAGGAGGCAACCTCTGTTAAATCTCTCCCGTTGGTGGTGTTTGGCGCTGGTTGTTGTTGTTACTGTTGGTCGGTGGGGTATCTTCATCACCTCCGTCTTCTCTGTGTTCACCTGCAGTCCTGTCTTCGCTTGCCAGTTTGTTGGTTTTCGCCTGTAGACCTACTAGTTTACGTGAAATTAGACACAAGTCATCTGAGAAGATCTGGAGATCTTCTGCAGTCTTATTCTCGTTCCAACATATTCTTGTCTTCTTACTTCTCACGCTCAGGAATGTTACCCATCATAAAATGATGACAGCCTTGTCTTACTCCTGTCTTCACTTAGAAGGCACTACTGAGTTTTCCACTGAGAATTCCTTGATATCTGGAACTGTCATGTAGCTGTTGAATGGGGCTGATAAAGATTTGGGGAACTACACACCATAATGTTGAAGTAGTTTCCAAATCACTTCGCAGTCGACGATTTGAAAGTCTTCTGAAAGTCAGTAAAGTTCAGGTTGATATTTGACTGCCATTCTATGCTTTTTTATGTGATGATGATGCGTAGAGCTGCGATTCGATCAGTACATGTCTTGCCTTTGTTGAATCCAGCTTGGTCTGGTCGGTATGGTTGAGTTCTGCATCCAGTGCATCTTTTATTCTCTTCAGTACTCTCTGGTTTTCTACTGGTTCTGTAAGTGACGACAGCATGTGATCAGTCCTGTGACCGACATTTAATTTGTTGAACTCAGAGTCACGATAAGGCGCAAACACGTTCTACGCCACCTAAAACACCTTCTTAGTATGTTACAATAATAATTTTATATTTTCATATAAACATAAATTTACATGAAAATGCATGCCATTTTTACAGACACGATCAAGTATGATACAATGTCAAATAGTAGATTGTCTACAAGTTAGTAATGTTTGAACAGCTAAATATTTGATATATGTATAAATACACTCTTTGTCTGACCCATGTCGTATCATTATTGAATTAAACAGCAGTCCTCCAGGCTGCGCATTTCGTTTTGATTTCATTTCGTTTTCAACCCGTAGATGTAGGCATACGATAACCAACCAATATTGAGGTAAGTACAACGT